AAATGATGATAGATTGGTAAGCTAGACTTCATTAAAATTAAAAACTTTTGCTCTGCAAAAGACAGTGTCATGGGATTAAGAAGACAAGCCACAGACTGGGAGAAAATATTTGCAAAATACATCTAATAAAGGACTATTCTCCAAAATATACAACAACCTGATTAAAAAATGGGCTAAAGACCGTAACAGATACTTCACCAAAGAAGAATATACAAATGTCAAATAAGCATATGAAAAGATATTCCACATCATTTGTCATCAGGGAAATGCAAATTAAAGCCCACCTGTTAGAATGACCAAAATTTGGAACATTGACACCACCAAATGCTGGCAAGGTTGTGGAGCAAGAGAGCTCATTCATTGCTGGTGGGAATGCAAAATGCTACAGCCACTTTGGAATACAGTTTGGTAGTTTCTTACAAACTAAACATACTCTTACCCTACGATCCAGCAGTTTCACTCTTTGGAGCTGAAAACTTATGTCTACAGTAAAACCTGCACATGGATGTTTATAGCAGGTTTATTCATAATTTCTGAAACTTGGAAGCAACCAGGATGTCCTTTAGTAGGTGAGTGGATAAATAACTTTGATCCACCCAGACAGCGGAATTATTCAGCACTAAAACGAGCTACCAAGCCATGGGAAGACATGAAGGAAACTTAAATACGTATTACTAAGTGAAAGAAGCCAATCTGAAAAGGCTACATACTGTAATGATCCCAACTGTGTGACATTCTGGAAAATGCAAAAGTCCCGAGACAATAAAAAGATCAGTGGTTGCCAGTGGGTAGGGGGTGGGGAATGGCATGAGGAAGAACGAATAGGTGGAGCACAGACTTTTAGTAGTGAAAATACACGATGGATAGATGCCGTTATACATTCATAATTGTATGCCATTGCACCTTTATACATTTATAATGGTGGTAATAGAATGTGCACCAAGAGTGAACCATAATGTAGACTATGGACTTTGGGTGATTGTGTCTCAGTGTAGGCTCATCAGCTGTAACAAGTGTCCCACTCTGGTGGGGGATGTTGGTAATGGGGGAGGCTGTGCATGTGTGGGGCAGGGAGAAATCTCTGCATCTTCCTTTCAGTTTTGCTGTGAAGCCAAAACTGCTCTTAAAAAAAAATGTCATAGAAAATTTTAATTTAAAAAAAAGTGGCAGTGGGTTAGGGATGAGAGACATCTTCATAGGGAGCAGGAGCCTGGTCTGGATGTTTTCAACTGACTGTACTTATTAATTAAAAAAAAATTTTTTTTTTAATCTTAGATTTTAAAATGAAAGTTGAGTGATCCCTTAACCAAGATAATTTTAAACTGAGTTCCAGACTATAGCCATTCTAATACTTCAAGTGAGCTTGTCATATCAAGCTAAATGTAAGCTGCTTGAGGCTAGAGAGGTGGTAAGTCTATCACTATGTGCTTTAGAAGGCCAGTTATTGATGAATATAAACTTATCACACGGGGCTCAGAATTACTTCAGTGTACAGCTACCTCCCCTGGTCTGGAATGCTTGTTGCTCTTTTTCTTAAATTCAGCCTTAAAGAACAGTGAGTATTAACTGACTCTCTTGAGGTGCGAGTAAGCGACAGTACACAGAACTAATTAAAAAAATACTTCTGAGGGATATAAATTCCTAACCCACATGTACAAACCTGTTAAAAAATTTTACTCTTCAAAACAAATTTTATCTGCTAAATTTTAAGTTGAATTAAGTAGCAAATGGTGCTTAAATGAAGACTATTACTGTTGACCCTCTCACACCTTTGACACCTTTGACCAGTTTCTGCATCCCTACTTTTGAAATCAGACTTCAGATTTTCTGCAGCTTGCATTGTTTCCTAATTTATACGCTGCAATTCTAACATTACTAACAACTGATTTTATGTTCAAATGTCCAAAAAGGTGGTGTCAAATATACTTTTGTTGGCTTTGGTGCTCAGTATGGAATACATAATGAATGGACAAATGTTCCCCACTACTATGGTTATATTCTCCATCTGGATAGCCTTTTCTTAGTAAGTATAATTCCAAGTCTGACTTACATGATATGGTTTAATGAAGCTGCAGATATCCATATTTATATTTAAAACAAAACACCAAAACCATTTTACCAAAAACTAGTTTTATTTTAAAATTAAGTGCATAGCACTCATCTAATTCCATTGGTGTGGACTTCAGCACCATACCGCTATTTGCAATTAATGTCATAACAGATACATTTTGGTTTGCAGTCTGTACTTTAGTGTTTATTTAGTGGACTTTGGTAAAGCCCTTTATGCATATCATTAATTTCTTCACAGTACACATTTAATGATGGTCCGGTAATCTCAAAAAACAAAAAAACCTACTTTAAAGACTAATCAATAAATTAAACAAAACAAAACCCACACCACTCCCCCACCCACACCCCCCGAAGCTAGCAGTTGTGAGTTGTATTTATATTGAAACCTAATGTTTTAAAAATAGTTCTGGTTCTCCAACCACCCCATCCCACCCCACCCTGGGTATGCAGCGACAGGAACCAATTATTTATTTTACTCTACACCGCCCCCCCCCCAAATTAATCCAGTGTTCTTTAGCTTTTTTAAATATAAACTGGGAAAGTGTTATTATAGGATTTTTAAAAAGGCATATTCTATAACAAGAATGACATTTAAACCAGTCAGTAAAAGCATTTGACAAGACATTAAATTACCATAGGCACCAGTTGTTGTTTCAAGTTGGGATCTCTATCCCAGTATCTTACATTCATAGTATTATTGAGGTAGTTAAAATACTGAAAATTGGTCCAGGTTGCTAGGTTCTGAATGTGAATGATATATTCTCTTTTGAACCCACCTTCCCCCAAATAATTCAAGTTCTGTTGAGGTAAGAACTACCAAAATCCAATTAGCAGCCTTCTGTAAAGAGAAAGTGGTGATACTTTCAGAAAACAATTTTCATGCTTGAAAACTGCCATGAGTGAGTGTTCTTACCTGAGTGGTTTTTCATTTTATCTACCAGACTAATAACTCCACATCATGCCCTATGTACTTATGTACTCTAAAAGTTACCTTTCTTTAAAGGAAAGGATATTCTCTAAGAATTCATGCTGACAGAAGCCACCCACCCACATTCATCTACTGGAGCCATCTGGATCGATCCGCTGCTGTGTTGAGTCCCTTCCCTTCCTAACAAAAGCCATTGGCTTGATTACTGAAACTCCTGCTGCATACCCACAACATCTTTATAATAAGTTTGTCTTCAATGCATATTGTGGCAGTTACATACCTGCCATGCAGTTTCCCTTCTATTCAAGTGCTACCTTTAAAAAAACACAAACAAAAAGACACAACTTACTAATTTTTAAATCAGAAAGCTTCCCTCCACCAAATATCTCTTCTCCCACAGTTAAGAGCACAATGTATACAGTTTCAGTTATTACAATGATTTTTTTCTTTTTACTTTTTCAGTTTATTCCCTCCAAGCTCTTTACCCCCAAATTGCCCTTGCTGTAATGACTTATTGCTGTTTTCACTCATCACCAGTACAGTGACATGTCCCAGGGCAGTCCTGGGGCCAATCTAATGAAAGTCACCTTTGCCTGCTTACTCTTGACTAGCTGGATTCAAAGGTTGCTTATAAAACCTGTCTTCCATGTAACAAAGTGCTGCTCTAGCACAACCTGAGAACTACCCTGGCCATGTTCCACTTCAAAATAAACCTATGGGACTTTATTCTAGTACTGACATTTTACAGTTTTGCCTTCCCTTGAAAAAACTTCTTTAGAATAATATCAAATCTGAGTATAAATCATTGATTGCACTGAGAAATGCAAAACTCATATATGTATTATGAATGATAGGAACCACCACTTCATTCATTCTAGGATACAATTATGTTCTCGTTTGAAAACACATTCTAGCAGGAGTATACTAACCTATGTTATTAAGGTAGTTCATACTATAACATTCCCAAAGCATGTTGCATTACAGTTAAGAGTTTCCAAGTAGTTCAAATTCCCTGAGTTAAATGTGTTTAATTCTAAATATTTGAGGCTGATCTTTAGGGGAAAAAACAACAAAAATTTATGACCATGATTTTAAGATAAGAGAGCTACTCCACCCTTAATTTTAGTACATAAATCCAGATACCTATACTACCTGTGATAAGGAAGTTATATAGAATATCTAAAAAAAATTTTTTTAACTGCACAGACTGGTATATCATAGCAATTCATGAGTTTAAACTTAGTCAGAAATTCATTTGTAGATCAAAAATATAACTCAAAACTGCAGAATAAAAAAAAGGACCTCTTCAAAAATTAATACTGTAACTTTCCTTCATAAGAAGACTGTTTGGCAAGTCCACAGATAAACATTAGTTTCTGACATATAAGCCAACTTTAGGCCCAGAGGCCACCACAGGTCAAATCACAAAACGGCAAATTGAAGTCTGTCCAAGTTTTCTCTTGTGTTGAATGTTTTTGAAATATTTGGACCATCAGTTGGGGCTTTAAAATTTGTGTCATATAAGGATGTATTTTAACAGCATTTGACATACACACTGTTAAAGTGTTTGCAGTGTTAGCTTAGTCCTCCCAGATATTCATGGTGCATTGGAAGGGATATTCAGTCTTCCTGGTGCTGGTGTCGGAAGAGTTCTGATGCCATTTGGATCCCTTTGCTTTTGAAGAGAAGTTTACAAAAAGCTTGCCCCAGAGCTTTGAGTCACAAACAGTCTGGGTTACCAGTCTTACCTTCTCATAAAATCACCTTTCAAAGCATGGAGTAATGCAAGGGTAATGTTCATTTATCTGATAACTCCGGTTATAAGAAACATTAAGACAGGGCTTAACTTCTACTGGTATTGCCAGTGACATCCCAACACCAGTCTGCACGTGCCCAAGGCCCTGAACACTAGTTTGGAAGCCAGCAGGACATGTCGGTAGTGTGTAAGATGAGGTGTGTGTGGTAGATACAATCTGCTGACAGCTTGGTTGTTCCGATACAGGATGGCGATACTGCAGCGAGGTCTGATGCGTCTGATGGAGATACTGAGGCTGCTGAAAGTGAACTGCCCGAGAGGGCTGGGAGGCTGTCTGGAACACACTTAGTTGTGCTGGCTGAGGTCCTGCCTGTCCTCTCTGTTTGTTTGCTTCTTTCACATCATTGTCATGAGCGCTGCAATATGGAGAGAAAGGAAACTGTTAATAATGTTAACTTGAGAAAAATTTGCAGGAAAGCCATGCACCACACCCAACTCCTTAACAGCTGACTCATTGGACTGCCCCACTGCCCAGGTAGCAGTCACTGCAACCATAATTTCAACAGAAAGATCTCACTCTTAGCTTTCTAAAAGCTCCTTTCCTTGGTAGAGCCCTTGGGAACTGGCTGCTGGTAGCTTTAAGGGCTATTTTCAGCTTAGGAGCTATGTCCACAATAAGTACTTAAATATGACTGCCACTTTGGTGACATCCTGATGGTCCCACAATTCAAAGATGTGGGAATGAGGCAAGATTTGCCTGGATGATCTCAGAGTTGTGGGCTCACGCAAGAGCACCTCCTTTCCTTATTATGTACCCCGAATCATACTAGCAATGACAACCTCTACCTGGGTAACAGCCAAAAGGAATTCCCCTTCCACCAAGTACTGCTCATACAGGGGCTTGCTCATGGCAGCAGGCAGCTGTCAGAGCCAGTATCCTAAAAGCTCTGGGCCTTTGAGAACTTGTTCCCAGGGCCCCTTATACATGAAGAATGTTAATAAGAAATTACAAACACAAGAACAAAGAGGCTTACATCAATAGCCGTTCAATGCACTGAACTAAGAAATCCCAGGAGTAAGCAGTAAGACGATGCAGTCTTGTAGGCCACGTTGGAGAAAGACGAAGTATAATCCTTGAAGAAGCCACACATGCTGCAGCTACTAAAGAAGGTGCATAATTTAGAAAGGCATAATCTGTGGAGACACCAAAAATGAACCTAAGCAACAGAATGCGCAAGTCACAAGCTCACAAGTCACTTACTGGCATCTACAATGACTCACCTTGCAAAGATACTTCCAGGAAGTAATCTGCATACTTGGCCATGTAGAGTTTAGTTTTTTCCAAGCAAATCATTGGCCAGCCGTCATGAAGATCGGTTTCATGCACAGCTTCGGAGAGATAATACTCAATGAAATGGGCAGCTGTTGGAAGGCAGAGGTTCCACTGAAAGGTTTCTAATAATAATAGTTCCATATGTAGCAAATTTTGTTTTGTTAATACTAGATTCATATTAGTCATACAACCCAGGCTGTTGAGCTGCTCCAGCTTAGGCACACTATCTTCTTTTTCTTCAAATTTACCTTATAAGCAAAGGAAAATAAGAGAGAGAGAGAAAATGTTAGGCGGGTGATCAATATAAGTCTAGTCACTTAAATGGGATCTGCTGTCCTAGTGCAAAGATTTAGATCCAAAGATATTTTTTCCCCTACTTTGGGCAGATACAATTGTGCCAGAACTCTGTGGTTCTCATGTCTACATGTTTTCTCTCCTAGTGCCTCTGTTCCCCACCCTTCACACTCCCCTAAAAAAACCAAAAAAAAACAAAAAAACAAAAAAAACGGAATGTGTAAACATTTTGATATATGTCCTACTGTGTAATGAAAACAGTCCTATGTGCCAATGAAAAAATAACTCCATCATCTCACCAGCTGAATCTTTTCAGGAACTTTCTTTTGGGGGTCAGGCGGTAGTTGGTAAAAGAAAATTATGTTAGAACAGAAGAAAGTTTAAAGAATTTAATGTCATAGTTATCTAAAATCAAAAATAGCTAAGCTTCAAGTGTTTCATCTCAGCATATTTTCAGCATAATCTCAATTCCAGAGAGATACAAATAGATTAGAGGAAAAAAACTGGGTGAATATCTAACATAAGCATTCTCATTATACAAAAAATCCTATTCCTCCTCTTCTAAATTCAAAACAAAAACCTAGCCAAGTCTGTTATTAAGAAAAGGGAGGATATTTTATACCACTTTTATATCCCCTTACTCAAAGCAGAATAGGAGTAAAGATGCTCTGATGGCTGAACGTCATTATTTGAAGGCATTAACTTCTTTTCAGGAAATACTCATCCATATGCACAGCTGAGGAATAAAATGCCCTCTCCAGCCCCTGAATAATTTTTCTATGGATTATGTACCATCTCACACTTTAATTTCCAAGCAAGCATTTACTATATATAAATCATTCACTTTAGATGTTTCTAAAAGTTATGGCTGGAGAAAACTCAAGCTATCAAGTACTATTATGATTTTCCAAATGCAGCAACAGAACCAAAAGAGTTATCGTCAAATCTCTTTGGGTCTTTGTTCCATGATTATCCATAGAAGAAGGGAAATTAAAACTGAAGCTTTCTACCTCCTAGCATTATGTTCTATTTTACATTAAGGTATAAAATAGTCATATTATATTGCAATTATTATAGATTTCTCACAATAGCTTTTGCACTTGCTCATAATTAGTTAGAATATGTTATATATTACTATATAAATTTTTTGTTCTACTATTTTGATAACTATTTAAATATATTTGATTTCTTTAGAAATCTTACAATTTTATCCATTTAAAAACATTTTGGGGGGAAGACCACGAAGACTACCAAACCAGAAGAAACCAAATGAGTTTCCCTGTGAAGTTTCTCTTCCAGAAGGAATGGGTTTACACCACACATTGAAGTTCTGACAACAAATGGTAGTGGCCAGAATCACTCAGCCCAGATGTTCCACATAATGGAGTCAGTGAGGTTTGTTCAAGTCAGCCTGCCTTAGGGGCTGGGGAAAAAGTACTGCTAACTACCCTGGTCTTTGCTTAGGGAGGGTGAACGAGAGTAGAAGGTTTTGTCTCCCATGCCAAGAGACTCTAAGCTCATAACTTTAAGAAGAGTCTAGTCCCAGAGAAGTTTAAAATTTCGCTCCCACTCCAGAAATTTTGAACTTTGTTAGATTTAAACTACTCTTAACATCGCTGCAGGTAAGAGATGATCCAAAAAACTTACATAATTCAGACTTTTCAAGAATCTAGATAGTCCTTCCCAATTCAAATCACATAAAGATAAATTTCACAAGTTTTGCCAGAGGCATTTATTAGTACAGCTGAAAGCACTAAAGTGGTCTTAATGACAGTCATCCAGCATGATCACTGCATAAATATAGGAGATGAACCCACTGTTCTCAGTATAACCGAATGGAATTCTTCAGAAGGAGAATGACCTAGGAATTTAGTTCAGTCCCTCTGGATGAATCATTAAGACTTTCAAAGTACTCTATTTGTGTAGAAGCAGCAATACTGGCAGTATACTTCAAAGGAGTATTGTAAAAAATTAATGAGTTTTTTTATATCATGCTTGATGTTCCTTTGAAGAAATTAATATACCACAATCCACTGTTTAATTCAAGGATCAAGAATGTTTCATATTATCTCCTTGAAACTTTCAACATAGAAAACAATTGTATATGACCAATTTCACAGCTCAAGAAACCAAGGTAGCAAGGTTGGCCAATTCATTTAAAGTCAATTAAGTTGAGTCAAACCCAAAATGGAAGACTTATTTATGTCTGAATTCCCAAATCTGTGCTTCTAGACCAAAGTACTACACCAGGTTAAATGGGGACAACAACTACCAGAATAGACAAACTTTTATATTATTAAGCATCCATGGGGTTTTTATATTTATAAAGTACTTGGCTATTACAAGCATGAAAGCCTTTGCATCTTGATTTGCAAAGATAAAAAATAACCTGCATGCTGCATAAATAACCATACTTGGGATTTTAATTAATGTTTAAGTTTTTTTGGAACCTTTTCATTATATATAGTAATACACTCAGATACATGGATATTAAAGGATTTCAAAAAGTGTGACAGCGTCAATGAGTATCTGCATTCATATCCAGTTTTTATTGTGCTGAACGCTATGTGTGTGACTATTTTAAATCTACTATCCGTTAATACCACATACAGATCACAAAGATCAGTTTCTTCAATTGAAAGGAAATACCAGAAGCCATGTGATTATATTGATAAAGGCCCCCAAACAGGAAATAAAGGCACAGGAAATTCTCATCTGCTTCCCAGAAAACAAAGAATTAGGGGCCACAGAAACAAAACATCAGGTTGTCTTTATAGGAAATGTTCAGATCAGCCATGGAAACCAGCACATTTTCAAAGCCAGGAGTGAATGGCAGATATGTGGTAGCAGGGCATGGATCAGATGTCACTGTAATCTCTGCCAACCCACATTCTAGTCTTTTATTACTAAGTAGGAAAAAAGTCAATATTTACCAAGAACTCTCACAAATGTATAAGACTATCTATCTAATTAAAAAATGGGTTAGGAACCAGAAGAGACAATTCATAGGAAAAAGAAAAAAGGTTCTAATCTCACTAAAAATTGATATATCAACAAAATCATCTGTGAAATACAGTTTTTCACCCATCAAATAGTAAAAAGCTTTGTCAACCCAGTATTGGTGAGCAAGGAGAAACAAGTTCTTGTCACAAATTTTTACTATTAAAAGCCTATAATCTCACTTTGGCTTCATCTTGACTCCAAAATCTTAGTTACACAATACCTTGAGCAAATTATCAAAAGCCTCATGTTTAAGACTGTTTCCATGCTCTCTACAAGTTCAATGCTGATCACAGAAGGCAAGGGAAGCCAGGGTATACATGTCAAAGAGTTAGAGTTTGAGAATTTCCCAGGATAAATCAGTCTTTTCTGGAATGAGCCAAAACCTTTGGGGCTAGGGAGCCAGTGAAGATTATAGAACACTTATGGAGGAATTAATCATTACAATGCTAACTTTTATGTGTCAATTTCATACATGCTTTTTCAACATATTACCCCACTTGATCCTCACAACAACTTTGTAAGGTGTCTATTTTTATTTTATAGAGAAGTAACTTGAGACTCAAGTTCAAGTTGAAATTCATATTGCTGACGAGATTCAAACCTATATCCATATAGATTTCCTATAATCCCTGCTCTAAAACACTACACGCCTCTCCCCAATCTGTAGGCCCTTTCTTCCTACCTCTAATAGTATGTACACCCAGGCAGCAG